ACAAACATTGAATTACTATTACTGCCAAAACTACACTACATTATTGCCTGGACACAAACATTGAATTACTATTACTGCCAAATTACACTACATTATTGTCTGGAAACAAACATTGAATTACTATTACTGCCAAAACTACACTACACTATTGTCTGGAAACAAACATTGAATTACTATTACTGCCAAAACTACACTACATTATTGTCTGGACACGTAATTTCAAGTTTCATTGCTGCCAAAACTATTGATTTCTCTTGAAGAAGTTCATCATCTTTCATTTGTTTATTGTTTATTTTTATCTATTTTATGATTTATTTCAGTTAACCGTTTTAAATTCAACATTGCTGAGGAATGGCGACTTTTGTTTACTGCAGCACCTTCGCTCTAGACTTTCAGACTGACCGTTACCTGTGTAATCTATTCGACAGTTCCCTATATCTAATGCTGATACACCCCAGCTAGTTTTAAATGTATCACTTTAGAATGTATCTCTCGTGAGCATCGCCTTTCCACCCTGTGTAAGATGGAAATCAAACCCGATATCAACCGGCAATCAAGCGTCTCTAGGAGACAGATAACAAATTGAACAATTATTGACGTGTCTGGAGCCACCAGACAAATGGTTACCCCAGTTCCTTCGTCACTATTGTCACATCTAACGCACCTAATTCCCATAAAAGCAGTTTTATTAGTCAATCGGTGTTACAATGTATTAAAATATGAGAAACTGTAGTTTCATTTTTTATACGCCAGATGTTCGATTTATAAATTATTATCTTACTCAAAGCACTTTCAGAGGATCTTTCGTTTAACTTCAATATATGAATAACTGATATAAAAATATAGAAAATTTGAGAACGTTCCCGACCAACTTGAAAGTCGATGGCTATCTAGAAGAGACTCATTGTTTTCAGTTCTGGCTTGCTATCCGTACGCTCTCAATAAACACGTCCTAACACGTTATTCAAAACGATTGGAAAGAGTAGAACGTGAAACAATGTACACGACAAACGGTTTAACCGGGCCAGTCACACAGTGAGAAGCAACAGACAGATTTTAAATGTCAGACAATGAGACGAGAGATGACCGGGTTCCAGATAAGAGTGTGTCCGGTTTTGAGGGCGTCCGGCGGCCCCTTTGTTTATTATATTTACACACATCCCACACTTTCGTTATTTATGAGATATCAAGAACAAACATGAATCATCGCTAAAACGTTTTACACCATTGACACACCAGTGTTTATTACTGACAAACATGTGGGCGAATCAGTTGATTGTAAACTTGTGGGTGACAATGATTTAAGCTTGTCATTGACCTGGAATGTCTCAATGCGTACGACATTCGTGCCAAAAGTTCAAAATTATTTCTGAGATTTTGGAATCATAAACAGCCTTCTGGATTACTTCATTTCCCACGATGTTGATATAACTTCTGACCCAGATAACATGTGATAAAGTGGCTGCTTGGGTAAGCCACAGAACAGCTAGATACGTGTTGTAATATGGTGCCGATCTTGTTACTTATCTCAGAACGAACATTTGATAACAAATGGATATTTTTAGTTAATTTGACTGTTAACGTTCGGAAAGCCTCGGGATATAGCATGTGTTTATATTGATGTACTGGTTTCGCATTATGTAATTGTTTTCGTCGGCGTAGGACGATTTTCTTTTGAAGGTAGAGAGTCGAATCAAATTTCAAGTTTACTTAAGTGATTTCGTCTTTATTCACATCCATTCATTATAGGTTCCTGGCCTTTCCATGGAGTTTTAAAATTTTAATACTATTTTCAGTTATGTTGCAGAAATGTATAAACAGAACAGTTATCATGACATTTAACGCAGTGGATACGTTCCCTCTCTATAATCACGCGGTCAGGAGGTTCCTGTGGCTGAGGATTGTCAAACGATTCCAACGTTTAATATTCGTCTTCCTTTTTTTATAGAAAAGGGGCCAGTTACTTCAAGTCAGAAAAATGCCGAACAACTTTGAACACTCCTTTGTATGAGACTCTCATCCTGTAACGGGTCGACGGAGACATATTGATCATATGCCCTAGACGGGTAAACATTGTATTGGTTGTGTAAAAAGAACTTCTCATAATCCATACTTACCAACCTGAAGAAAATGTTTAGAAATATGGGTAAAAATGTTATTTCAAAGAATTGATCTAAACCCATAGAACATCCAATATTACTCTGAACACAGCAATTTAGGTCACTAACCCTCGTACACTGGGTCGCGGGTTCGAGGCCTATGTGGGGAAGTCGTAAGGTACCCTCCGCAGGTAGGTGTTTTTTTCTCCAGGTACTCCGGCTTTCCTCCGATATTAAAACCTTGCTCGTCATTAATTGACCATGGCTGTTTAAAGAACGTCAAGCACAATCACTCCAAACCCAGTCAAAGTCCAGTATAGTTTACTGTAACAAAGTTCTCATGTCCTGTTGTCCCAGTTGTCCATCAGTCCACGGTACAGTCAGCTGACGTCACGAAGCCGAATCCATGTCACTTCGTGTAGTAATTAACATACACTTGCACTCTAGCGCTTCCACAAGCATGTTGTGCATGTAAATAGCAGAACCTGCGTTAGACTTGATCATGTTACACAATTTTACATAGACGGAGCACCCTGCGTCTTACTCCTGCTGTCTGTGTATCAACAACGCCTCATTTATCATAGAGACTAGTAATTAAAAACCCCATGTACACATCGTAAACTGGTTCCAGTAAAACACCAATAGCTGTATAGTCATCCTGTAATGAGCCTGTCACCCACAGCCTCCTGATGACGTCATCTGACGTCGACTGTTCGTCACAGTTACAACATAACGCTACATGTTGTAGACGCTAGCTCGTCAACAGTTCGTCACAGTTACGACACAACGCTACATGTTGTAGACACTAGCTCGTCAACAGTTCGTCACAGTTACGACATAACGCTACATGTTGTAGACGCTAGCTCGTCAACAGTTCGTCACAGTTACGACATAACGCTACATGTTGTAGACGCTAGCTCGTCAACAGTTCGTCACAGTTACGACATAACGCTACATGCTGTAGACGCTAGCTCGTCATTAGTTCGTCACAGTTACGACATACAACATAACGCTACATGTTGTAGACGCTAGCTCGTCAACAGTTCGTCTCAGTTACAATATACACGGAAACACGAAACACTGTAATCGTAATTAGAAGCCAACCAGATCGAGACTGTCGTGTGTAATACATATTTGCAAACTAATGGTTAACTTTTCCACGTGCTGCACGGTGGCATTAGTGGCGCGTGTCACGTGTCAATGTCGTCGAAGCCACCATTGTAATGCAATGCACATTATCTTCTTCATTTTAAATCAGATTTTTTTTTGTATCGAGAATGTTAAGCGGAGTCCATTATAAGATTTCGAGAGGTTTTCTCTCTTTTTCTTCTATGTGCATTAACCTTTGGGAGGGGGGGGGGAGGGGCGTTTTACCGAGTTGTGACCTAAAGCTCTGAAAAGTCTAATATGTGATGACCACAGGGACCTGATGTATGGAGAGTAATATCTTATATATTTTAAGAGTTTGAATCAACAACAAAAAATGACTCCATATACGTGACAAATTCTATAACACATTCGGGTCCCTGTGGTTTGGACAACAATCACAGTCTAAGTAAGAATCCCATCTTAAGTATCTTGCTGCAACATCACAGTTATGGCGGGTGTACACGAGTTGGTAAGTTGGTGATCAAGAGAAGTCGACGCTTGGTGTGTAAGAGGTCGATGAACGGCGGTGGCCACGTGGGAAAGGCGTCTGGCCGTCTGTGATCACTACCCCTCCAACACTGCGTCGCGGACTCGATTACTACATTGTACATGAGACAGTCGCCAGATACTGGTCGCAGGTCGGTGATTTTCCTCCGGGTACTCCGGCTTTCCTCCACCACCAAACGTGGTACGTCCTTAAATGACCATAGCTGTTAATAGGACGAAAAATAAAAACCAACCAATCGAAACTAATTGTAAGAGGTCGACGTCATACACAGAACAGAGTCGTGAAACCTCATGTGTGTGGGTAACGTTAACAGTAAACTACCGAAAAAGTGCACCTATAATTAACAGCCAATGAGAGTGGAGGTGTTTGCGCGAGCTGTCGTCTGTGGGTTACATCGACCTCGTGAACAAATCTTGAAAGAAAATGTGACCATGCTCGCATAAGGAAAATACATTTTGAAGAATATAGAACGTTAATAAAAAAAAAATAGAACAGACAATGCACTAATGTGTATACACATCCACTCTTATCATGTGTTACGTCCATTAAACACATGGCTAATTATAATTGTATGTAACAGTAAGCGTATAACGATAACAGGAAGTGACGTAACATTGGAATGACGATCAGCCGATGTTATAGTGATGTGACAATGTCTGCAAAGGAAAATGCATTTCAAATGAATATAGAAGTTTAATGTAAAAAAGACAGAACATACATTTATATATAACAAGAAAAAATCTCAACAACGAGTCTTTCATCTCTTCTAGGATGATATACATATATATATATCAACGTTACTTGTACTTACTTCGTTCTGATATTTTTATTGATAAAAAGGGAATTTTGTATATTTTATTATAATATACACACGTATACTACTCTCTGCGTTATATTGTACCTATCAGCGTTTACCGTTGTCAAATATTCAATTTATGACATTTAGTTTTGTTTGTGGAAGCGGGGCTGGACGCGCTCTTGTGCCAACACTGGACACTATCGCGCGTGGTTTCCTCACATGTGAATTCAATAAAATGTGGCAATTTTTAACGTAAGAGGTATGGTTCGTTGACTGGTTCATATATGATATCCAATTGTATATTGATGTATACTGGTAAAACACACACATGCAGTTTTATTGCGTTTTAGTGTTTCTTAAAGTATGTAAAATGACAAATCGGAAACAACCAATACAATTATCATAAAGAATTTTATGATAAAAGTGCTAAATTTGAACTTTGATTTAATATATCATTATATTCGTTATTTGGCGTATTTTAACCTATTAACTTTCATTCAATCTATACCATCGTGTGACATAAATATAATTAATATCCTGGAACTATATGTGTAAATTGTTTCTCCTGATCTTGTGTCAATTTAGATAAGTTCTATTTATGAAGCTTTTCCTTTAAAGTCGACATGTGTCATTGTTGTCAGATTAACTCATGCATTTACTTTGTCCATCTTATACCATATATCTTTCAACTTAATTATATTGCATACTTCCCACCTCTCACAATGGAAAACTGTGGGCAATAAATCACTTGCTACCACAGTCCACTGCACACATAATCCCCTTTCATGGCCAATCATGATTACATGACCATGAAAAGGGGTGTGCCCAGTGGACTGTGGTCACAAATGCTGTAAGAAAGGGGAGATAATCAATAAGAAGGTAACGATGAAGTCAATACAGTGGAAAGGATAAACTTAATTGACACATTTAAAATATGAAAAATAACAAAAATAAAGTTAAAAATGGTAATTTCATGATTGAAAAACAAACAAACAAAACGACTGAGTTGGCAGCGTTATTGATTTCCTTATCACGTGACAGGATAAGCATTTCCTGGAAAAGTTTATAAACTTTAGGAGCTGTTTCTTTATACAAAATTGTACATTCAAATATACCATTCATTGAAAGAAATGGAATTCCTTAGGGATTGATAAACCCTTACATTGTATGTATGAAAATGGTTTCAATATCCTGTACCTTTGCCACATCTTGAAAATTAAACTGAAAATGTAGTCAGAAATTCAACGTTGTTTCCCGTATTTTGTTCTAATTGTTGAACAGACACTCCTTACCTTCCCTGACACTGGAGGTGGATAGTAATCCAAAAACACTTGTATCCATTATGAAGGATACACTCAGACTGGGCTATTGAGAATAAAGACAAACTTACCTGGTTCTGATTAGTACTCACTCACACAGGTACATGTAAATTATCTGCAGTGTAGGGTAGGTAAAAAGATTGTCCAGGTGAACATTTTTTACTCAATTTTTCTGTTTTGTTCGAGTTGGGAAGCATGCAGTAAGCCAGTTATTGCATGATTTCTCGTCACTCGGGACTTATTACACCCTCGCTTCGCTCGGGTGTAATAAATCCCTTGTTACTCGAAAACCATGCAATAACCTGTACATATTACGTAACAGGATTAACTGGTCATACCAGATCGGACACTGCATTCAGTCTCAGACAAAGGACAGCTAAATTGGCTTACCTGGTCGGGTACGGCCGAAGTCTGAAAGGCCGATTGCTATGAATAACACTTAATTGCTTTTGTGTAAATGTACTTAGGACACGATTATGATTTGTAACTTCAGTTAGGAGCTAGGCATCGGACTGTACGGGTGTGTTTTTGGATACTCCAGAAATCATCCACCGACCTAGAGAAAGTTATTTTAATAAATTTATATTTTGACCATACAACATCTCCAGAACTTTTACTTTTCAAATTGTATAACAATACCCCACAAAAGTGTTGTTATACAATTATCAGATTTTGACTGTTTATTATGGAATGTGAGGTTTTTACAGGTAAAAAAATCTTTTAGTTTCAGGTATGCAGCAGACAGAAATAGACCGCCGATTTCTCAGCGAAATGGTGGGAAAGGCGTCAACTATTCAAATAAAACGTATCTGCTTGCGAACCAAGAATAGAGATAGGAGCACACTGAAAGAACTGTTAAAAATAAATGTAACCCTTAGAACCGACCGTATGTCTCCGGTAAATTATGGTTTGAGAACGCTACGAGAGAGTGAGAGAGAAACAGAAACTACAGACCCTGAATCTCAGAGCGCCACTGCAAATCTGTTTGTGCATGTGCCATTCCCCATCTAGCCGCCCCTCCCCCCTTCTGTCCGCTCCACACGTACACTATTACACGGGCAGAGAACAGCACTAGCAGCATCTATAGATATTTATCAACTCGCTGACAGCACGACAGAAAACATACATAGCCAGGTCTGGAGTTTAATGTAGGGATTCGATATAACGCGTACAGGTGACAATTTTAATGATAAGAAAGCGATAAGAGAATATCTACTTTATCATTATAAACGTACAGTGTAGATGTACATCGATTGTGAAAGTTTATAACAAGCTCGGGTACCTATCTCATAACCAACGAATCTGATTGGTCGACCTCGCTCTGAACTGTAGACTTAATATCCAATACCCCCTTAGTGTATTTAATACCTCTCATCGTGTATATCCAGTGTTGGTCATTCCATTATAACCCAGTCGTCTGTACGTACGTACTCACTTCACTTTGTACACCAACTTTCGGGACGCTTGAAAGCGTTTACTTCCTTAAACATCTTTTGGATTGTCGTGAAGAAGAACAAACGAAACAATGGCCAAACCTGACCTACCAAGGGGCTACCTCGGAGCCCAACCCAAATTTGGAGAATTCGGATTAAGCACTCACAGTCATAAGGACCCTGATGTTACCCTGACCGGAAACGAGGTAAGCCTCATTAAAATACGTGTTAACTCTGTATAACGAATATCTGTCTATCCGGAAGTCTAGCCGGTATATAAAGGTGTCGCTAACAAGAATTTCATTAAACTGTTTCATTTTTTTTGGTTCAGTTTCTATATTTTTCGCGTTTAGCAATAAATCTGTAAAAGTCTCAAGTTATGTTTCTTTCGTTATGAAAACTTTTGCATAACGTTGCTTCTGCATAATGACAAAATCGCCGGTAGGTCCCGCCCCTAAAGTCATCTTCTTATAGTGACTCTGTCTTCAGAAGAACCCGCCTATAATGGCGCCTCTTTTTAGTGACAAATACGTCGTTGATGGGACCTTTCACAGTGAATAAGACAGCATCGATAGGACCGGTCTATGACGTCACCTCTGTATAAGGCCTTCGTCACAGATAGGCCCGGTCTATGACGTCACCTCTGTATAAGGCCTCAGTCACAGATAGGACCGGTCTATGACGCCACCTCTGTATAAGGCCTCCGTCACAGATAGGACCGGTCTATAACGTCACCTCTGTATAAGGCCTCCGTCACAGATAGGACCGGTCTATAACGTCACCTCTTTATAAGGCCTTCGTCACAGATAGGACCGGTCTATAACGTCACCTCTGTATAAGGCCTCCGTCACAGATAGGACCGGTCTATGACGTCACCTCTGTATAAGGCCTCCGTCACAGATAGGACCGGTTATAAGGCCTGTCACAGATAGGACCGGTCTATAATATAACCTCTGTATAAGGCCTCCGTCAAAGATAGGACCGGTCTATAATGTAATCTCTTTATAAGGCCTGTCACAGATAGGACCGGTCTATAATATAACCTCTTTATAAGGCCTCTGTCATAGATAGGACCGGCTTATACCATCACCCTTTTAAAGTGACTACGACGCCGTTGACAGGACCGGCCCATAACGTCACATCTTTATAGTGTCTTTGTCGTAGATTGGCACGGGATAGAATGCCATATCTTTATAATGACGAAGACATTTTTGATAGAACCGGCCCGTTTTATGACATCTATATAGTGACAACAACGCCTTCGATAGGACCGATCTACAATGCTATTTCTTTATAGTGACTACGACATCGTCGATACGACCGACCAAAATGTCCCTCTTTATAGTGACTACGACATCGTCGATACGACCGACCAAAATGTCCCTCTTTATAGTGACTACTCTTACATACGGTTTAGTATTACGAAATCATACCGGAGTTGTTTCCCCTGGCAAACAGCCAGCTCTATAACTAAAATGTGTTTGGGTCCCCGGGGTTCATTACTGGTATGCGTCTATCTCAAATTTTAAATTTTGTACAAGAGATAAAAAGATGTCGGTAATAGGTTAAAATTGAGCAGCGCGTCAATACTGAGACGATTATCATTGATATGTAACGACTTCCTGTCGTGAAACTTTTCCAAAACATTCGCTGTAATGTGTTCAACATACAGTTGTCATTTCTGCGGTATTTTTACTCTTCACAAACAGATGGCCCATACCACCAAGAATGGTCGATTCTAATTTAAAGATGCCATCTTTTGCATGTTTTGAAGTATTTTGGGGAGAAACGTGTATATGACTTTTTTATGAACGGGGTAAATCCCATTTTATCGTTAGATGAATGTACATTGGTAATCTTTACAGCAGGTTTTGCCGATCAAATAACAGTTTAACGAGCCAGAATGCTGACTGTAATATAAACGGTGCTTCACAGGATTTTCAAATTAAGTATATCCTGATAGACGAATACAGTTTTGTCATCTTACTATATCTTCTGTATTCGACTCCATCATTTTATCGCCAAACTGTCTGCACTTTTTGCTTCTTTGCAATATCAGAAAATTCCCTGACGCTTTTTGTCTTACATAGGTTTTAATCTATTGTACACTATCTTCTAATGATACCGATGAACAACCGTCAGGGTATCTATTTTTCATGTTAAAATAATATGTATCATCTTCCTTTTCAATTGTGCGTTACCCATACCCATATGTACAGGGCGAAGTAGTACAAATATAAAGTCAGATTCCTCTATAATAGAAATAATATCTTGCGGCAGTGTTTCATCTTTTATCAATTACCTCGTCATCAACACCCAAAAGCCAGCTATCGTCTTGCTGAAAGCTCGAAACCAGTGTCTACAAATCAGATTTGATGAAAGAGAACTGTGTGCATATCAAATTAACTATCCTTTTAATAAAACTGTAGAATGTTTCTATTTTGGCATTTCTACCGCGCGTGGTTCTATTAATAGTTACACTCCGTCATAACTTGTAATTAAACAATCACATGTTTTCGCCTCTGGTATAGCTGACACTTCCGATTTTTATCTTGCCTTTAACAATACGAAGGTGCCAACAGTTCTTGGCAAGCAGCGTAATGACATGGCTAAAACCAAGCTGCCGAAACTCATTTCCTACATATTATACTACACTATATGACCCAATACAAGCATGGAAAGTACCACTCTACCGCTACAAACTAAACACATAACACCAAGTTACCGCTACAAACTAGCTACATATAACCAAACTACCGCTACAAACTAACTACATATAACCAAACTACCGCTACAAACTAACTACATATAACCAAATTACCGCTACAAACTAACTACACATAACCAAATTACCGCTACAAACTAACTACACATAACCATGTTACCGCCATAAACTAACTACATATAACCAAATTACCGCTACAAACTAGCTACACATAACCAAATTACCGCCATAAACTAACTATATATAACCAAATTACCGCTACAAACTAACTACATACAACCAAACTACCGCTACAAACTAACTACACATAACCAAATTACCGCTACAAAGTAACTACACATAACCATGTTACCGCCATAAACTAACTATACATAACCATGTTACCGCTACAAAGTAACTACGCATACCCATGTTACGGCTTCAAAATAACTACAAATTACCGTGTTACCGCTACAAACTAACTACATATAACCAAATTACCGCTACAAACTAGCTACACCTAACCAAATTACCGCCATAAACTAACTATATATAACCATGTTACCGCTACAAACTAACTACACATAACCAAATTACCGCTACAAACTAACTACATATAACCAAATTACCGCTACAAACTAACTATATATAACCACGTTACCGCTACAAACTAACTACACATAACCATACTACCGCTACAAACTAACTACATATAACCAAATTACCGCTACAAACTAACTACACATAACCATATAATAACTATATTCACAACAAGACTACAAGATTTATAATCAAGTGTAACTTATAAACTATCCTAAAACAAGAGGACTAACTTGTCTATTGTTGACGTCATCAGTATGATGACGTCACAATTGTTATGTTGGATTCCGTTGACTCTTCCTGATAGACGACTGGGCCCACTTGTATAAAACATCTCAAAGTTAAGGAAAATCTGAAGCAATGTATTGTCTATGGAAAATCTTAGACTTGAGAAAATATCAAGAGTTGAGATGTTTTATACAAGTGTACTATTAATTGGACAAGCATATACAACAAATGCATTATTGGACTTAATTCTGAACAAAAATAAGTTCAATAGACTTTTTTAATGAATTAGATTAAAAATGGTAAATATAAACATTTAACTACTTTTAGGTGTTGTTCATAGACAATATGAATGACGAAGTGACAGAGACAAACCCAAGCGCTTCATTTAATTTGCCTTTGTCGAGTTGGCATTCATATCTCCTATGAATGCCAACTGAAACAGCTCCACTCAGGACATGGCGTCAAGTTTAAGAAAGGAGATCGGTCGATTAGTAGCATCCGAAATCGTTAATAGAATACACTATGCATGATTTCCAGTGATTTACGAAGTCGTAAACAAATCGGTACATGTACGTCCTACAAGGTTATAAATCGGTACGGTACATATCAACAGACCAATCATATCAGTGGACGGTGTTTCATCCACACTCTATGTGTAGCTATTTTTGGAACTGTTTCGTTGTTTAAGTGTCGGCTTTATAGATATTGAAACATTTTTGGTAGTCAAGACCTGTTTTACCGTTTAGTATTGTATTCCCGCACAAATTCTACCAAGTAGAATAGCTTCTGTACCGGAGTAGCTTACCTGTCGTATCGCTGTCCTCACTAAATGTTCTGTAAAGACACGCCATAGATCTGGAGAGAATCTCGCCAACAGGGAAAGTCAATCCGTGGCGTCTGGTGTTCGGAACATTGCTCCCTCGACAGGCTATTAATAGCTAGTCAGCTCACAAAACACGCGCTACCATTATCTTTGTATTTGCGTTTTGCATTTGCTTCAAATAAAAAAATACAGTTTAAAAAAAAAATCTGAACCAGTGTGCCAAGAGAAAACCAGGTTGCCGTTATCAAATACATAGGGATAACGGAAGTCTGTCTGTGGTGAAGTTAATGGCTGAGCATATGTTAAAGAGGTAACATAAACTTCTAGTGGTAAGGATGTTTAACTAGAGATTGTGTGGTAGAGCACAGGGTCGGAAATACGATTTATCCGCTTCTGGTAGGGGTTTTTATGACAGGGAACACGGCACATCATGTCATAGGAAGTAACATAACGTTCTCGTGGTAAGGATACATAACTAGAGTTTGTGTGGTAGACCTTTGGGTAGGAATACGATGTATCCGCTTCTGGTAGGGGGTTTTATGACAGGGAACACGGCACATCATGTCATAGGAAGTAACATAACGTTCTCGTGGTAAGGATACATAACTAGAGTTTGTGTGGTAGACCATTAGGTAGGAATACAATGTATCCGATTTTGGTAGATATTCGACACATAATTAGAAGAAGTGTTTGAAGAGATGTAAAGAACCCGTAGGAAGGAAATCAGCAGAGTAGAGAAAGGGACAGATGGTGATCACAAGGAAATATTTTATAATGTTTCTTTAGAAGTTAAACAATAATTCTATATATAAAATTTGTATTTGTATGAATTTAAAAGCCATGACCTGCAG